TTGAGAATATCAATCAACCATTCACTGCTGAAGTTACTTTCCTTGTTGAAGAGAGTTATGCGCAGCAGAGAGACAAGCTGTAATGTTTCTGACCTAGGGCGAACCAGTCCTCTCCATCGACTGACCAGAAACGAAAGTGAAGAGTCACGAACAACACTGAGGTGCTTTACCAACTAACTTAGATCAGGAACCTTGCTTTGATACCATATTTCGACTACTGCTACAGGAGTCCGAACAGGAAGAGGAGAAGAAGAAGAAGAAGAAGAAGAAGAGGAAGAGAAGAAGAGGGGTCAGTTGAAAATCTGATGGTTAACCCATTCAATCGACCCCCTTAATCTATATTAGCTTCTAATCATGTTTACAAAGACAGAAATGCCCTTACTTAAGTGTGGGGCAGAGTAACTCTAATAACACARYCACATAAGCAAGWTACTTAATAAACAGAAGAAGACTAAACTACCCCTATTCGACACATCTTAACACTACTAATCCTTACTGAGAACAAATAAGATAAAATGAGATGTAACTAGCTAGAATTAGATAAGATAAAAATCCCAATTTACTGCTGCTACCGATTGGATAAGAAGGGAGCACCAAACTAGTGCTGCTGCCAGCGGCGATATTTCCTCCCAACAAACGCATCCACATCAGCTAGTCTCTCCTTTACCCAATTTAGCTAATTGAAAAAATACATTCATTATAACCCCTACAAGACCCCCTCTGAAACCATCCATACAAAGCAAATTTCCTAAAATGCCTCTTGAATATTTGCTATATGTAGATGGTGCTTACATGCCATCTATGGGACAACAATAATTTGGTTCATAATTATAGCTAAGGATTTAATTGTTACCTTCTAAAAGAAAATTGACCTTTGGCAATGATCCAAATATTGTTTCCAATATAGAAAAAATTGTTGCCAAATGTTTTACTTACAATTGAACGAACTATTGCTAGTGAAGTCGTTGTTAAAAGTGTTTTGCAACAACCAAGTGTTGTGAAATATGTTTTTTTACAACAATCGATCCAATTGCTGGCAAAAATAATGTTTTGCAACAACCATTTGAAATTGTCGTCAAACAAATTGTTTTAGCAACAATCTATAACAATTGTTACTTATATAATTTTTTAACAACAACCGATTACTTGTTGCCTAATGGTACCATCCCTAATAATTATGTTAGCTGTTGCTAATTGTAAATTTGTAACAGTTGAATAATTGTATCTAACAATCATCTTAGACAACTTGTATAAATTGTTGCTGAATGGGCAACAATCAAACAATTGTTGCCCCAAGTTCCTTATACAAGGATTAAGTTAATTGTTGCCAATTGTACATTAGCAACAACTAAACAATTGTTTCTTATAAATATTTATGGCAACAATTTTTATGAATTGTGGTTGAATTAACAACAATCAAGCACTTGTTACCTTAGGTTCCATACACAGCAATCAAGTCAATTTTTGCCAATTGTAAAGTGACCACAATTGAATAAATGTTTCTCATAAATATTTGTAAATTGTTATTGAATAACATCCCAACTGTATTTATACACAAATATGTTAAAAATATATTACAACTTCCAAATTGCTATCATAAATAATACAATTAACACATAGAAATTTGGTCTAATGTATCCACCCAAGTATCCAAGAGAAGACTAGTAAAAGCAAGGCAATGCATTCATTGCATAAAGTCTACAGTTCTCTCCCTGTATTGCCCTCTCAATCTGAAATGTTTTAATCAGTTGAATACTTTTATAATCATATATATGTCCATAGATGTCTTCATCTTCATATCTTACATACATGCACTTCTATTCATAACTCACATTTTGTGAGGAAGGGTCTTTACTTCTCCAATGCAAATCAAATCTATGTTATTTATATATAACAGTGAAAAGACAGATCTCATTCTTTGATGGGATTGATCACGAATGGCATTGTTGGTTATGCAACAGGTGCAAGGTAGTTGATTGCCAAACATTACATTGCTACTCATCTTCGAACAACAGATCGATATTACCTCCACTTGGTGTTAAGTCTTAGCTAGTAGAAACCTTGAACTTCCTTTCTTTCTTCAATCACATTGATAATCTTGTCTGAGAAAATTAAGTAAATGATTGTGAAAACCCAAGTAGAATTGAGTTGAATAATAAGAACAACATTGGATGGAGCAGAAAACTAAACAAATCAAATAATAAATTAACCTAAAAGAAGACACCAATTCTACAGTAAATTGCATTCTATGAGACACAAATTACGTACATATAAACATGCTATAAAGGTGAAGAGATCTTACACTCCTTAGAAGTTGTTAGAAATCCTCCTAGGCATTTCTTTTCCAGTCTAAGGATGAGCTTATTGTTCTTTATGTAGATGCACACCAACCTAAATTGTGTACGCCCTACATGGAATTCATAGAAATTATCAACAACTAAGAACCTTCTCTCTCTCTCTCATTCAAACACACACACACACACAGAAACACGAATAGTCTCTTGCTCACCAGACGATGTGCACACTGATAGTTGGGTCCCTCAAGCAAGCATTTCTTATACCCTTGAGAAGCATGTATCAACTGTAGCTCTTGATTTAAGCATTGCAACTCCTCTTAGACCCAGGTTAGCAACTGCAACAACTACAAAGCGATCGAATTATAGAAAAAACAAAACCTTGGTTAAATGAAAGACACTAGGCATATACTTGCGTACATGGAGTGCTTCTATGAATTCAACTACTTCTACTTAATGTATATGCATGGAGAATTAATGCACATAAACACAAATTTCTATCAGCCCATGTGAATGCCCTACTGTTCATGATGCACCAGATTTCAAGCTTAGAACAATAATAGAGATATTGAACTAGTTCAATTACTACTGTTCAAATCTGTGGCATATTTCAGACTTAAAGCGCCCACTTCAATCTGGGCTTATCACTAGGGAGTGAAATGCATTGAGTGGATGAGTGAATCCAACTTTTGGCTTCTACTGATCAGCTTATAGCTCATGTCAATCTGAACTAAAGATTGTTGTGGTCAGGAATTTCCAGCCAAGGTCACCAACAGAGATTTTCTCTACATGGCCAAGTCTCTGAGGTTATTAAATGCCAAAGGTATTTTGGAGCTACCTACCGTTTACCATATTCCGGAATATTTGGTAGGAGAGAAATAGAACTCTTTGAAGAAAAGGAATGGAGATTGGATAGGTTGGTGGGCAACTGTTAGTAAATCTGTTGCAGTTTGGGTTTTGGTGATGCCTGAATTTGTACAAGTCAAGAAAGAAGACCTTGGGGCCAGTCTATGGTAACTGTTAGATAACAAAGTTGTAATTTGGACAATATTGGTGATGATTAGTTTTCTTTTTGTTTTTGCTGACATTTGAGTTGATTCTTGGTGTCTCCTTAACACTTTCTCAGTTTGTAATTTTCGTTTTCCTTTTACTTATAAAAAACAAAAAAACAAAAAACAATGTATAATTAGATACAAGTGATCATTGACAGATTTATTTCTCATTGATGACAACGCTTTTCACTTTTTAAGTTGTGACTGATAATATGGAAATACTGTGAAGGCCAATTAAGTCAGCGAAGGAGAGAGATACTTATGAGTAGTAGTTATTGTTGCTTCATTGGTATCCCCTAAAAGAAGAATGGATCTCCACTGAAAGGAAGTCAGAGTGTGGACAAGGTTCAAATGAGAAACCAGATCCTGTAGGTTCATTCCTTTCTTACTTCTGCATCAGAGCTTGAAGTTTTAAAAATGGTAGGAAACATTTTCATGGTTATAACCAATCGAATATATATATATATAATATGTATATATATTCATATTTAATAATATTCAAGTCAATGTTCCTTATGAAAAAAACATATTTTCATGGTTGTATATTGAAATTGGCTTTTCTTAGAACCTACTATGTGTCAACTGTCAAGTTCCACCTATTAGTGTTTAAGTGTCATTATGGGGGACCTCTAGTGGCCTCCACAATTGGAGAATGGAACTACTAGAAAGGTTTCAAGGTTTCTGTTGAAGTTAATGCATAACCAGTGGTGTGAGAGACTCTTAATGCTGCATATAGCTTAATGACATCTAAGGGTAGCTTGAGAACCCCAAGTCGTAAATATTTGAGATTCACTAAACAGATCTTTTACCTTCAGTTAGAATATCAGCAATTGACAAGGTAGACCCACTGGCAAGACATTGGGATATTGGTCAGAAGGGCTTATTGGCTCATTTTTTTATCCCTTGAGAAAGAGGTTTATGTTAKACATTATTTTCCTATCTAAAAAAATTTCTTGCTGATCTGTTACCAGTTGGGGGAAAATAAAACATAATCATAATAATCTTCATGTATTAAATAATCATATTATGCACAGAAAAAAATTGTGAAAATGTCCACTCACCATTTCTCAAGACTGTTGCAATATCAGCTTGGTACGCTCAAAGCTCCTACAGTATAGATATTAAAGAACACAATCAGCCAATAATTAACCAAGGTCAAAATAAAAGTTCCATAAAACCTAAACCAAAAAGAATTTAATATGGAAAAGTCTCATTGCACTGCATGTGTGCACACAAAGAAGAAGGTTTAAGTGAAGCTATATATCACAAAAAAAAAATATTGAAAAAATATTAAGCAATTTAATCACAATAATTTCTAACTATTATATTTAGATCATGTCAAGCACATATAGCATGTTAGATGGTATGTGCATGAGAAAAACTACATTGTTTTCCCACTTGCTATGAGATTTGGGTATTTGGCAACCTTTTTCTTATAAACCCCAAAACTTACTCTCGGTGGTGGAGTGGCCACCATGAATTTTATTCATTATAAAAAAGGTATTTGGCAACCTCATTTTATGATTTTATCAGCAACAAAATAACTCTGTGTTGATCATACAAAGAAAGAATGATACAATTGTATAGTACAGTTTTAACAAGACCCTGGAATTAGGTCCTACCCCTGCCTCCAAAAGAAGACTATTCCAGATGACTATGTGCCCTGGAATTAGGTCCTACCCTAAAAGTAATGTGAATTAGCCTACAAAAGAGAACACACAAACAAGATAAACTTCCTTGAAGAAAATATTTTAGGACACATAATTACCTGCATATCCAAGGGTAGTGAAAAACCTACTTTCCTCCTTAAATGCAAATACATTTTTAAAGAATACAGATATTATTCCTTAAAATGCCGATAATATTAAGTTGCATAGAACCATAGCTAGAACAACCAATTACTAAGTTGGGGTGGTTATATCTAACTGAGTTGGGAAAAGAAAAAATTCCCCATATCAGGATGTAACATTACATGATTTGGATGCTGCAAATGCTCGACCACAAGGAGGACAAGATATACTATCCCTAATGGCCCAGATGATGAAACCTAGGAAGACTGAGATAACTGATAAACTATGACAAGAGATAAACAAGGTTTTGTCTTATGACCTTTTATCTAATGACTGACCATTGTCTATTCTTTTTAATTTCAAGATAAAGTAATTTGGAGATTCCCAAATTCATATGGATTAAGCTTAGTTGAGGAGTTGTTGATGCTTTATGGCAGGTTGTGAACCGCTATATTGATGAAGGAGTGGCAGAGCTTGTCCTAGGAGTCTTATTTATTGATGAGGTTTTCTATTTGTTCTAGCATTGGACTTGCTAAGGAAAGGAGAAGTGAAGGTTGTGAACCTTCTCTGATTTATTACCTTTTTCTGAATGATGCTTGATGGCAGCTGATTTTGACAATGGACTTCTGCTTGGGGATAGTATGTTTACTAAGAATGGTTCTATTTCGGGATCATACACTCAATCTGATCAGATTTCAACTGAAAATGAATTGAATTCCCATTTTGTCAATGGGAATGCCGATTTAATTTGATGATAAATTTCAGGGATTTCAAAGATGCATTTTCAGAAATGGGAGCCATAAATTGCTCTTCTGAGCATAAGGTACTGAATTTTTGGTCTCTTAATTTGTTATCATTAACCAAAATAAAACTTTGAAAAGCATGCTTGTTTATATTTTTCTTTTGGGCTTTTCGGAGAAACAAGGGAGTGATAGTCGTTCTAGCGCTGAAGTAGAACTCATACTTGACAGTGAAATCCAGGTGGATAAATTTAATTTCGTTTATTTAGCTTTATGAATTTTGGAATTTAATAGCTTATATTTTAGATTTTTAATTGCACTACATGCAAAAACAAAACGGTCGAAATTCCAAGCAATTTTACCAAGTTATAACCTAGGTTTTCTATTTATTGAATTCATATTTCAATCTAACTCAACAATCCATTGTAAGGTTTTGTTTAAACTCATAAAAGATATCCTGATTTGAAGGTTACTGTGCAACAATGTAAGATTTTTGTGTAAAAGAAATAATCAAGTGATGATTAAAGTAACGATTCATAAAAGAAAATGTGATGATTAAAGTAACGATTCATAAAAGAAAATGTGATGATTAAAGTCAAACATGATCTACTCAAAGAAGCTAGATTTTTTCTTTTTTTCACAAGAATTAAATTTTGTTTAGAAAACCAGAGAAAAGGGGGAAACCACGATGAGGGATTTCTAACTTCTACGAACTTCAAATACATAGACTAACCTAAGATTGAATATCTTTTGTGATCATATATTCTGCCACTCAAAGCTTATAGCCTGAAGAACGTCCAAGTCCGATCCTGTCTTTCTGAAAAGAAAAAAAAAGAAAAAAAAAAAACATCTACAATGTTAAATATAGCAAGAGAGAAAGATATGGATATACAAATTTTACCTTAATCTTTTCACCCTATTTGACTTGTTCGACCACAACGCCCTTATCTTACTCGACCTATCATTCAGAGAATAAGAGAACAAAAATTCTAATGGTGACAAATTGAGACATTTACAACCTAAATCTATGGAATCGGAAACGAACTCTGAGAGTGAGAGAGTTCTAACCTATGCTGACTTCTAATGAATAACTTCAGTCGAAGACGGTGTTCCACCGCAAAGTCGAACTCGGTGATGGTGTTCTAATTCTAAGTCGAAGATGAAGAGTCGAAAGAGAGATGGAGGGAGAATTGGGAACTTGGGATTAGCGCATGAGTTTCATTGGAGGGAAAAGTATAAAATGTGGTGGCCTAGTGGCGGGAAAAGGAGAGTTCTAATTATGTTTTTTAAGAAAAATATCAAGATTTAATTTAGGGTAAATCTCTTAAACACCCCCACTGTTTGGCCTAATGACATGCGGTACCCCTACTATTTAGCTATTATCTTGTGATACCTTTAAGTTTTCTGACAATTGTTCAACTCCTCCTCTATCGTTACTCAACTGTCGGGTCCCGTTTGCATGTGACGCCACATGATTGATACTTTTTCCATAATTCCCAAACTATCCTTTTATGGTTGAAAATACCCTTTTGGTCTTAGTTCGGGCTTACTGACTATGTCAACAATTAATCAATTGGACCTATCACCAACATTGGAACTAAGGCTTACTGGCGTCCAATTGCTAATCACCAGCATTGATTGTCAGCATCGGCATCATCGGTGTGGTGGACTTTTCTCAGAGTAGGTTATCAGTCACTCACATCCTCTTACAGTAGGTTATCATAGAATTGATTTAATTTCATTAAAATGAATTTTTGTTCTTCATTCTATTTGTTGATGTATTAAATATGTTTGTGACTACAACCTTCAATGGTTGTAGCTAAAGATTCGATGATATTAGTAAATAGCAACGTTTAAAAGCAAGAATTACAAACAAGTGATTCATTGTAATTACCAATTCAATGATATAGTAACAGTTGGATATTCAATTAGCAAATTAAGGTTTGCTGCCAATTGAATTTTATCCATTGGCAACAATCATTTTCAACTGTAATGAAGTGCCATTTGCCAAAGGTCAATTTTCTTGTAATGGCCCATACAATTATTTACGATTATGACATTCTATTAATAAAATGCCATTCCTCTTTTTTCTCAACTCTCTCTCTCTTATTCTCTATCTCAACTTTTATTTATTTATTCATTTATTATTATTATTATTATTATTATTATTATTATTATTATTATTATTATTATCATCATCTAAGCATTTATTTAATTAATAAAATTAAATAAATTATTTATTTTAATAAAATAAATTGGTAGAATAAAAGAGATGTGACATTAAGAGATAGATTTCAATAAACATTTATTCATTTATTTTACTAATTATAAATAATTTACTAACAAATTATTCTCTCCCCTTGAGCCCATTATTTAGTGTTGTCAACGAGTCGGATCGGGTTTGAGATAGCCTATACCAGTTCCATCCCAATAAACTTTTATTTATTATTTATTTTATTTAAGAAAAATAGGGCTGAAGGGTTGAGTCTATCCTGATGGAGCTAAATTGACTGAACATAATTATAAAAATTTTTAGTTCCATGATTTTGTCTTGATTAATTATTGGATTGATTTAAATCTTACTTGTCTATAATTGATTTAGGTCTGGAACCAAACATTTTATGAAATATATAATTTTTTATATTTGTTGTATTTTTTTATCATGTTTCATGGTTGAAATAGTGAATTTGATAAATAATAAATAAGATAATATTAGTTAAAAATGTCTAACTTATTAACATAAAAATAAATTAGTATTATTTTGACTATTGTTTTCAATATAATTAGGTATATGATTTGATCCCAATTAAATAATTGGTTTAAGATTGGTTCTACCTGGTTGTTTATTATTCATAATAATGTAGTTATAGTTATTTTATTTTAAAAAATATAACTTAATTTATTATTGTATCTCCAAATAGGCATACAAAAATTGCATCTCCAAATGGCATTTTTAAATTTTGCCCCTGCGAAGTAAGGGCTTCCCTGCTATTAGATGTTTATAAGCAATAAGTTTTTAATTTTTGTTTATTAAATAAAATAATAATTAATCAGCTAACAATTATAAACATTTTACACTTCATGTTTCAAAATGCAATCTTATGAAATTATTCATATGAAGAAACATCCTTATAATGGATATTAGATTTATGGTCATCTAATAGTTGGAAGAAAAATAAATAACTTATATTTAGGCCATGTTTGGTTAAATTCTCATTCTTTCTCGCTCCTACCTAAGATGAAATTCTAAAATGGACAAGAATGGGTAAAAATAGGTAGAATGAAAAAATAAAAAATACTGCTATGAACCAAATACTTTTTTCCTAAAAATGAATTATTTTCAGACTAACAAGTGTCCTATGTTGCTCATTTTCATACTTCAAAAAAAAATTGTGTCGGTATTCATAAGCCGCTAGCCTAGCTAGGTCTCCAACAATCAATGTTTACTAGTTGGCATAGATGTTTTGTAAAAATACTTTCGTAAAAGTACTCTATAAAATGCTTTTATAAAAGTGCTTTAGTAAAGTAGTTTTATAAAAGTGCTTTTCGTAAGTGTTTTTATTAAAGTGGTCATAAAAGTACTTTTGTAAAAGTGCTTTCACAAAAATAAACATCTATGGAAACAGTTTTGTAGGTAGAGTTTCCACAAAGAATGAAAATGAGCAAGATGGGGCATGATTATTTTTCATGTTGCAAACTACTAAATTTTTGTGCTATGGGGTTGATTTTTCATTCTAAAAAGAATGTGGCCCATGGCAAGAATTTTGTAGCTGAACACTCTAATGTTATTCATTATTGCCTAGAATGAACAAGAATTAAAAGAATTAGGCCTAGAGCAGTGAACCAAGCATGGCCTTAAATTATGCATAAAAATTTCAATAAAGAGAAAGTAAATCCATTGGGAGAAATTTGAGAAAAACAACAATCTTGGGATGTTAGATTAGAATGATAAGAAAAAAAGATCCCACTATCCAAGAGAAGCTAATAATTTGATTAACCCCTTATTTGCATTAACCCTTAATAGAACTTGATTTACCCTATTGGTTTTTTCATTTAATTTTGACTATTTTTATTCGGCCTAGAAATATTGAAGTGTTTCTTCCATATATTTTGAAGTTTGAACTATACAAATGTTGATACTTGAGGCTTACACCTTTTTATGCCTCGTGTTATGCCTCACCTTGAAGCTTGAGGCGTAAGCCTCAAACCAAATTATGAGGCTTAAGCCTCGAGGCAAAATCTGTGTGCCTTGCCTCAAGGCATACACCTCATGCCTCAATGGCTTAAGCCTTTTAAAACAATGATCGGACCATGCTTGCTCAACCTAGGCAGCTTTTTCTTTGCAACTCCTCTAAAATGCAGAAGCCATTCCAAACGGGCCCTTAATATCCTTTGTAATCTATAATATAAAAAGAGTAAATCACAAACTCCTTGTATTATGGGGTTAGTGGCAATTACTCCTTGAACTTTCATTTATGATAAAGAGCTCCCTGAACTTACATCGAGACAAATACCCCCTTGGCTGTTAAGTTAGATGACTTCCTCATCCTTTTCTCTTAAACCCTAATTGGTCAAAAAATACATCTATTTTCTCCAAAGGAAAACTAACTAAAATAACAAGAATCACTTCACTAACATAGAAAAAAAAGTTTATTTAAATTATTGTTTTATTTAATTGACATAAATACCTCTCTTCATCTTAAAATATAAAAATTATCCACTTGTTCCAATAAGCCAAGAAAAACCAAACAAAACCTTAAATTTATATCTATCAAAAGAAACCTCAACCATTTTATATGAATATTGAATACAACCAAAAAATCTGCAAGGATCTATTAGAGCAATTAAAAAAGGACTTTAATATTTTGAATCATACTCTGTTAAACTAAATAAGAAAAAGATAATTTAGAAAGTTAAAAAATTGAATGAAAATCTCTTTCGAAGTGAGAGTTTAAGAAGGTCATTAAATCTTAATAAGTTTAAGTTATTTGGATGGTTGAAATTAATTGTCCATAAGGAATTAAGTTATAGATCCCATGTGGGGATTTATTACCCCCCCCCCCAAAAAAAAAAAAAAATCCAATGGGGAGATGATTTTTTGTTGGCAATGGACCCACGGTCAATCAAAATCGGCCCAGAACCTTTGTACAAGCTCCCCACTCAGCGCACCTCACAGCAATCTCATAGGCACATCGCCTGTAATGGGAACCAAGGTTTTTAAAATCAATTTGGAGATCGAACCGGTTAGGGGTCTGATTACTGGGTTGAATGGTTCAACTGTTTGAATCGAATGATCGGCCTGTTCTCACAAAAAATGTTTTAAAAATGAAAATTGGGCAAAACCCTTCAAACAGTTCGAATGATTAACTGCTTGGGTTAGCGGTTTGTTGACCAAAATCAACGATTTTTATGAAAAATCCGATTTTGGGAAACCATGTTGGTAACATTTCTCATGAATAATATAACAAATAGGGGTGGATTCAAGCGAAGCGGAGACAAGTGGAATATCTGGTTATTTGAGTTCCGTTCGGTCATAAATTATTAGGCTTGAGCTCGATTCGAACTAGAGACTTGAGCTCAAGCTCGGTTCGAGTCAAAATCTTGGAAGTTCGAGCTCAACTGCCTCTAATTGTAGGCCTCTCTAGTAATCAAAGTTTTCCTTAATTGCTGATGTGCCAAACTAAGGTCTCTCTCAGTAGTCGAGGTGTCAAGTCGAAGTCTCCTTCAATAGACGAGCTGAGGTGACACCCTATATACATATATTTGACTGGGTTCACGAGCCTCACGAACCGAACTGTATTAAGCTCGAGCTCGACTCGATTAGCAAACAAACCCATATATTAGGCTTCAATTCGACTCGAAACTTGGTTTAGACTGAGCTCGTGGCCACCCCGGTGATAAATACGCGAGATGTAGTTGTGACGTGCGCTGATTGAAGAGCAGAATCTCTGTACGTGTGTCGGTGAAATGAACCTGCTTAACATGGACGCTATTTTCTGGGTCTGGTTTAAAACCCGATCCGCTTCCGTCCCCGCCAATGCCGTCAAGCGATGGGAAGTTGGGAACGGAAACGGATAAAACATTCTGTCAAAGGCTCAACATATTTCAACTTTTCAAGGGCTTGGCGCCCCGAAGGGAGAGAGGAGGGTCTACCACTGACTCTGAGATTATGGGTCCGGGCCCTGAAATTGGACGGTTGAGATCCGTTTGATATGAGGCTACATTATGACATGGGCCTACCGTAGTTCCCTAACCCAATAAGTATGTGATCGGCGGGGCTTCCAATTGTTTCCTTTTTCGGCTGCTCAGCGACCCGCGAAGCGATCAAGAAACGACCGGAGAAGCTTTTTCCAGTTTTGGAGGAACCACGAACGAATTCCGATTTGTAGGGAAGAAAAATGAAGATCACGTCTCTTCTGGTTCTGAAATGCAGCTCTGAAGAATCAGATCCGGTTATCCTCGCCAATGCCTCTGACGTCAGCCAGTTCGGGTACTTTCAGAGGTCGTCAGTCAAAGAATTCATCGTCTTTGTCGGTCGCACCGTCGCCAAACGTACCCCGCCGGGCCAACGCCAATCTGTTCAGCACGAAGGTCCCCTTTTATCTTATCGGTCATTTCCGTTTTTGTTTTCTGTTTTTAGATTTTAATCTCAGTTTTTGTCTAATTGCATCTTCTATGGATGACCTGTTGGATGTTGAGAAAAAGGTTTCCTGAAGGCGGAAAATTGAATGTATTGATTTCTTTTGCCTTGCTTATATTTGCGAAAGCATAAATTGAGCTTTTTTAAATATTGTTATTGTTCTGTTCATGAATGTTTTTCTATGCCAAGAAAACCGAGTTGGTTATTGCAAAATCGAAATCTAGCGTTAGGTTTTTTGACCTGTACGCTGGACAATTGATATTTGTTGCGCTTTTTTTGGCGCAATTTGTATTTTCTAGTAGGGAAGATTTGGAGGGTGGAAACTGTTCTGAGAAATTATATTCTTTCTATGTGTTTGTGTTTTTAGAATACAAGGTGCATGCATACAACAGGAATGGTCTCTGTGCAGTGGGTTTTATGGATGACCACTATCCCGTGCGCAGTGCGTTCTCTGTTCTTAACAAGGTAAACCCATGCTCCTCTTCCATTGCTAATAAAACCTTGACATTTTCTTTGAGAAAAATTTGTCTTTTTGAACAAATCCTTCATTTTTCTCTTTTATGTCAATATAATCATTTGTGAGTCTTTCTTCTAGCCATTCATTCATGTGTGCTGTATTGGTTTTCAGATCTTCAAAGTGCCTGCTAATTTAGCTTGTAAACTTATTGATATATAACCTGGGGTCTTGAATGCTTGGTTCTGTAAACCATAAGCATTCCTATAGCTTTAATTTTTCTTTGTTTTTAAAAACTTCTGCAATTCCTTATGCCAAAATTGTGCATGCTTGAGATTGCGTAGAGTGGAGTTTAAGAAAGAGTGCATGCTAAATGATAATTTCTCTGAAATTCTCTAGCTCACATGGAATAGGATAATGTGGCTCTGCGCTTCTTTTGTATTATCATTTGTGGCATATAGATCTTGCTCTCAGATAAATAATTCTTCTGTGCATAGGTGCATTGTGATTGAATGTCAAATAATTAGCCATAGTGTTACTATTAATATGTAGTTTATTGCATAAAGAGAAAACTTATTTAAGGTAGAAAGCATTTTACAATGAGAGATGTTGAAAGGCTGAACCTGCTGGATGCTAGTCTAGTGGGTAGATTTGTGGGAGCAAACTCCAACACTGAAATTATGGAGATTTGGGCAGCACGTTAGTGGGCTAAAGGAAAGTTGTTGGGGATTATTGATCAGAAAAAAAGTTGTTAGGGGTGTGAAAATTAAATGGATATTGTTTTTCTTTATGTTTCATGAGAAACCAGCATCCTAAGAGAGCAGGAGAGCATGCTGGAATTGAGTTGAGCCTTAGAAGATGACACCCATTAGCAGGGGCACTAAAGAGCCAACGGGGAATGAGAGTCTTAGCAGATGGCACCCACTTCATGCTTGGTGCCTGCAACTTTCACAGCAATTGGTAATTGTTATGGCAAATTTTTGAAGTTTAATGGTAGAAATAGGATGTGGGATAACCGGATAAGGTGGATATGGCAAGAATTTTAGTTGAGACCAGTGTTATAAGACTTGGACCACACACACCGGAATTCTTGCCGGGTCACAGTTAAACAGTTTGACTGCCGAGTCAAATAAATAACATATATAATAGATTTTCTAATTTATATCACATCTATAAGTGGTGCATAGATGGTTAAGTTGTTGTTTTTTGATACAACTCATACAAGTGACCAGGGTTATGAAAACCAAAATGAACACAAAAACATGATGGATTAATGATAGCATATGACACACATAACTAAGAGGTCTCAAATTCAAATCTTCCTATTGACATTTTTAAAGTTTATAGTGTTTGAGTGACCCAAGCGGGTTATGAAAACCAACTGGGTCGTAAGGCCATTGAAACCTAGCTGGTTTTCAACGGTTCCACTGGGTTTTGATAAATTTGACCGCTTTTGAGAAATCTGGAAATCTGGGGTATTAAATAATCACAATGACCTCTAGTTCCCAGGTCTTTCAGTCTAACTGTTCAGTCTGAGTCTTGGAACACTGGTTGAGATGGAAGATACAAGCAAGATTCCTTTAAAGGCAGGGCAAGGGACTTGAATGTTGAAGGTTTTAAGAAGCAGGGGTAAAAGGACAAACTTTAAAAGTCATAGGAAGAAAGAGAGATTAGGGTGAAGTAAAAATACAAGAGCCAGAAAACATTTTGCCCTAACTACTACTAGGTCAAAGAAGAAGGGATGGTAGTTGGTGATCACTACATTATCTTGGGGACTGAGAAGGATAAAGCATGAGTTTAGAGGTGTTTGATGGTGCCAATTTGACACTTAGGTAGATAAAGATTGAATCAAAGGAGGAAATACAAGAGAATGGATATGGGTCATTACAAATTACAAAATAACAAGAACAGAGGTGAGGAAGAAAAGATGCTCAACTGTTAAGGAATGCCCAGATATGGCAATGAAGGCACAATGAACAGCGGTGCAATTGACAGGTCTGACTGTAGGAAACTGAGGGAGACAGTAATAGAAAGAGAGATTGAAAGCATAGAGGATAGGGACTTTGAAGGCAAGGATGAAACAAGGGAAGGAACAACTTTACAGGGGAATCAAACATTTGGCAAGGTTGGTTTCATAAAGGAGGTAGCTGAGTTTTTAGAGTTGGGAGCAATGTCATGGGTCGAAGAAACTTAATGTAACTGGAATCTAGAAAGTGAGAACTAGTACACAGATAATTGAAGAGGAACTAGAGAAGAAGATATCTTATAGAGAGCTGAGCAATAGAACTACAGAAGTAGATTGTGAGTAGACAAATCAATTCTCAATAACATTAATCAGAGAGAACAATCAAACAACTTTAATTCCTATTTGTGAACTCGAATGGTATTAGAGAAGAGACTTAATTCAAACAGCATCAATGTAAACAAACAAACAATCCTTTATTACTTAGTTTGATCTTGAAAAAAACTTAATTCCCAAATTGAACTTAACTCAAATGGCACCAGAGAAGGGGAGGAAATCTTGGCGGCCGTGAAGTCGTTGGTTGCCATTAAAGCCACCAGTGTTTATTATTTTTGGTATGAAGTCTTTGGTTGCTGTTAAAGCCCACAAGAAGAAGACTTGAAGGACAAAACTAAGGTTTATTGTTTTTGGTTGTCGTGAAGTCTTTGGTCACCATTAAATCCCACAAGAAGAAGACTCAAAGAAGGTTTCTTGTTTCCAATTTGACATTATTAAACTCGAAGGACAAGCCGATGTTCTGATCAAGACTTGTTGTGCAGTCTTCATGATCATTCTCGAAGAGGAAGACCTAGTCACTCAATGAAGATTCAAACTCTTGATGGATAAAATGTTTATTGCTTTTAGGGATAAGGGGCCATTACTTTGTGTAATGGTAAAATCTCAGAATTTTGAGCATGAGAACATGGGCTCGAGTTTGAGGGTGGCCACTTAGTGTACAAATGCCAAAGGTTAGGACTGTACCCAATATACCCCTTTGATGCAGATGCAAAAGCAAGTAAAGAATTCATGGTTAAACGTACCAATTTCAAATTCTTATACCATCTTCATAATCTTTAGGTTATGGGAATAGGATATTAGTATTGTTTTGTTTTTTTTATTATTTTCTAGTTGTTGGTGTCTTAAGGACATGGTTCTTTTTTTTAGATTTTTATTTCAAAATTACTATTTATGGTAACTCTTGGACTTACTATTTATGGTAATTCTCACAATTACAATTTTTAGTAAACTCATGGATTACCATTTTTAGTAATTTCTGGTGTCTTTAAATTAAGTTAGTAGGTACCATAAATTACACACTAAAGAGGGAGAAAAAGAAAAGTATAAACTAGCAAAAGTTGAGAGGAAGGAGTGACAGAGATTTAAACCATGTTAGGTGCATTAAAGATGAATATCAAAGAGTCTTGATAAAAGATGAGAAAATCAAATAAAGATGGAAAACTATTTTGAAAAACTATTAAATGAACAATAGGGAGAGGGTGCTAATGGAGGAGGAGCTAGCAATACTAATAGTGTTAAAAATAATACATACCTTCTTAGAGTTAGACCTACTGAAGTAAAATAGGCACTAATAAGATGAAGGGAAAAGCATTAGGACTTGATGGGATTCCAGTAGAAGTGTGGAAAGGTAGGCTTGTTATGGCTAACTAAGGTATTTAATAAGATAGTAAAAGAAAAAGAGGGTGTCTATATTTAAGAACAAAGGTGATATACAAAGTTGTAATAACTATTGAGGGATTAAACTCATGAGCCACGCTATGAAACTCTAGGAGAGAATAATTGAACAAAGATTGCGACTTGAAACAAGTGTATTAAAGAACCAATTTGGCTTTATGTCAGGGAGATTAACCATGGGAGTTATATTTCTTTTGAGATGATTGATAGAAAAGTTTAGAGAGAAGAAGAAGGATTTTCATATGGTGTTCATTGCTCTAGAAAAGGCTTATGATAGATTTCCTAGAGAGATAATATGGTGGATCTTGGAAAAGAAAGGGGTTCAAAATAGGTATATAGACCTAATTAAGGATATGTATGAGGGTGCAACAACCACTATTAGAACATCAGTGAGAAAGACTTAAGATTTTACAATTATGATGAGTCTTCACCAAGGTTCAGCACTTAACCCTTATCTATTTGCACTGATCACAGATGAATTGACTAAACATATTCAAGAAGAAGTTCAATGGTGTGTGTTGTACGCGGATAACATTATTTTAATTGATGAAATTAATGAAGGATTAAATGCAAAATTGAGCTTATGGACAGTTGTGTTTGAAACAAAAGGATTTAAAATAAGATCAAAACAGAGTTTATGACATGCAAATTTAGTAATAATTGGAGTGTAAATCAGGTTACACTTAGGATTGGAAACCAAGAGATAACTCAGTGTGTCCATTTCTGGCACCTTGGTTCAATAATTCATAACAAGGGAGAGACTGAGGAAGATGTCACCCAAAGAATTAGAGCAGGTTGGGCAAAATGAAGGGGTGCATTTGGACTTTTGTATGATAAGGAGAATATTACTTAGATTAGAAGGAAAATTCTATGAAACAATTGTAAGGCCAGCTATGATGTATGGAGCGAAGTGTTGGGCATTTAAGAAACAACATGTTCAGAAAATGGGTGTGGCAGACATGTGAATGTTAAGATGGATGAGTGGAAAACTAGAAAGGATAGGATAGGAATGAAGCCATCCATAGAAGTCTAGGGGTAGCTCTAATAAGTGATAAAATGAGAGAGAGAGAGAGTAGGCTAAGATGGTTTGGTTACATGCATAGAAGACCACCAACAACTCCAATTAGAAGAAGTGATTTGTTACAAGTGGAAGGGGCTAGAAGAGCTAGGGGTAGACCAAAAAAGGATATGAGTAGAAGTAGTAAGAAGTGATTTAAGAACTAATAATTTAACCATGGATATGATTTTAAATAGAGAAGATCGGTGAAACATGATTAATGTAGCCAACCCCATAGTTGGGATAAGGCATGAGTGATG